GGGTGCTGTGGCGGTCGCCCTTTTCAAAGTTATGGTGAAACAAAGTATAGGCGGCCCACACTTTTTAAAAAATTATATTGAAGAGATTGAAAGGGATGGTAGTCAACATTTTTCAACTTTCTCACGAGCTTCCTCGCTAAAAGTTGCAGCAATTATGCAGTTGCCTAGGGCTGAAACAAATTTTTCTGGGCCCTACGTCCGACGCATACATTTCGCGTCGATTCTGAGACATTGCAACGTTCAAACAAAGCTAAGAGAATGCGAAAATTTCATTCTAAAAGCACTCAAAGTTCTATCGATCCTCGGACATATCTGGGAATCCGAGCACCGGTATGGCGATACGGCTGACGCTGTCTCACAGGTGTTAATATCCAGATGATCCAGAGCGATCTTGCGCGAAATAGGTACGAAGTCTCATTCCTTCATACTTTCACATTATAACTGCGTCAGCGAGCACGAAAAAGCCCGAAGTCGTCGGAAAGCAGCTGCACATCACGGCTACCGCGCATCGAACTAACTCGCATTCGCCAGCTCTGGGCGCTGCCATCTTCCTGATGACGTCACGGCTCTTGGAAGGTCACGTGACGAGTGGTCACATTTGCGTACAACATGGCGGCAACCGGGGGGTGCCACTTCGGAACTTCCGGTTTATCACTATACCTCTACCTCGTTGGTCCAAACTCAGCCGACTCTATGAGGTGAGGGCTTCAATCAGAAAGCGTCAAAATTGCAATATCATGGTGTTCGTCATGTTTCTGTGCGTGTTCTATTATCGCTGAACCAATAATAAACAAAAAAACTCTATTCACTTTCGCGTTTAACGCTGCTTCATTGGTCCCATTACCTCGTAGAGTCAAAAGTCCCTTGATTCTTCTTTTTACAGGTAACGACAACCAATACAAATGACAAAGCACATTTTGCTGGAACTAAATGGCGTCATTCAGTTCAGTATTCTGCTGCGCTCCGCCATTTGCTTTCTAAAAGCTGCACCGTCATGCAGTCGGCGCTTCAAACAATGCCCCTACCTCCAGGTAGCTTTTATCTAAGAACTTTAGGAAGAGGAAGCCAGCTGGACGCAAGACGTGTCTTTCCCATAGTCAGAGAACCAGCTGGACTAGTGGCACCCACTGCGTCTTCGATCAACCAGGTGCTCAAACTGCTCGTTTACGAGATCGACCGGAAGCTGGGAGACATCAAGGTCCGCTTTCGCGAAGACCGCCGCCCGGTCAACACCGGCGGCGTTTAGCACCATGGGGGTGCTGGACTCCCTGCGTCACCGGAAGTTTGGCCGGCTCGTCTACAAGCTGTGCACGCAAGCAGCCCTCACCATATGCTCGAGACCGGCCAGCTAGAAGTCAGCAGGCGATGCCGGCCCAGCGAAGACCACCGTCGCGAAGTCCGCTGCTTGGCCTGACGCTCTTCACCCTCTTCATCACCTCATCATCATCGCCACCATCCACACAATTCATTTGAAAAAAATCTTTCATCCTTTCCACTTTGCTGATGAAGGAAGACCAGTAGAGCTGAGCAACGGAAATTAATAGCCGGCCGCAAGTCGGCAAGCCAGAGTGGAAAGGCTGCCGCCATCTATGAGCGCCAGCGGCAACCAGATACGTGGCTTGCCGCCGTCGCTCATAGATGACGGTAGGTGTCCAGAGTTTGGTGTCTTCATTTCTTTGTGGGGGACACGATCCCGGGAAAACTATCCCTTAACAGCTCCGCTGTAAAATATCTTTTCATCATCATTACAAGCAGCGCCGCAGGTCTTCAAGGTATGGGCGATTTTCCTTTCTGCGTCACCGTGGATTTTCTAAGCTGAAATAAATATCTCAGATGTGATATTTAGTAGTGTCGGCTGCGTCTGAACTTAAGCTAGAACGAAGTACAGCTGTCTGTAGTCGCAGCGGAAAAAAAATACTCCTTTGTCCTCATCGCGTGAGAAGATATGAGGTGGGTTTTTCCATGGCTGCGCCGCGCAGACAAGAGGACGCACGTAATTGAGCGCCGAAACTACACCGTACACCAGGTACACCAGGTTATTGCCATATCAGATTCAACTGAGTCCTTTTCTAAAGCATCGGCCTTTGTAGAGGATTGTCAACTACCGTTTCAGTTGCTCGGCATCTCGGTAAGACAAGACAAGGTGAGCAATGGCGGCTGTAATTTGGCGCGTTTGTAAAGCGTCTATTATGTTCGTGTTTGCATGTATTTTGATCTTCGAGTACGCTCTGACTCAGGTTGGCACCAAGATAAGAAAACCATTACTATCTTGGAGCGGATATGGCGGCACAGCTATCTTCAACGTGCAATTGCGAATGAGCAAAAAATAAAGCTAAAACGTGGGCGCGCCATAGGGGAGACAGACGTCACCACTAAGGGTTCGAAGGGCTTCGTACAGCCTTCACAGTACTGGAGAAGCCGATGACATACAAGCTCTCTTTGCACTGTTAAAGCTAAAAATGACGCTGAGGTATTCAGTTCAAACCCCTAATCGCCCACACTCTGTTTCACCTCATGATGTACAGCATGAAAGGCTACAAGCGCGAGCTCCTTGCTCTAGGGCACATCTCGGCGGCACGAGCTCTCGTGCGTTAAGAGCAGCTCCCAACGGTATGAGCTTGCGCTTCTCGCCTTCTCCGCGGTACACCATAAGGTGTACCGCAGAGCCCATTCTCGGCCGTTTTCGGTTTCTGGCGCCCATAGAGCCCCATGTATTCGAAAACTCTGTTGGCCGCCATTTTCCCATTGAAGTTTTCAGAAAATCACTTATAACTTTTGAAAAAGGTATCGGATCGGGCTGAAACTTTGGCATCTGGTTATGACCTTTAGGGCTAGCTTTGGGCTGAGAATGGGCGCTCTGCGACGCCTAGTTTATTTTTGCGGTAAAAATGAATGTGTAATGTTTTTTTTTTTTTGTGTGTGTTTTTGTTTTTTGTGACACCCTGTATATACTCATCACATTATCATGTTCACTAGACGCGGCATCGCGGACCTCCATGGTACGCGATGCTGCCTTTCCGCGGTGCCGCGGCTCTCCAGAGCAAAATAAATAAAGACTAAAGGCTGAAGACAAAATGCTTCGCTGACCAACAGTCGGTAGTGCCTTAAAAGAAAGAAAAATAGTCTTTCCTCGTTTATAGGCTGATAATTCCAAAACTACACCACACTAGTGGCGCTCATCTCTGAAATAACATACGCATTACAGAAAATAAGAGATTGTCTTTTGAACGCAAAACGGGAAAATACACATAAATGGAGAGAGTTTTGTTTCTCAAAGCCAAATTCAGAAATCGAAACTAAACTAATGTTTGCTGAAATTCGGGGTATATCATGTGCATTGTTTCTAAAAAGTATCGAACGAAAACACCACTTAGCGGCGAGATGTTTCGGTGGCGCCCTCCTATGGTGCCCCCTTGTGACGTCATTACCTTGCGAACAACAAGTTCGATGGTGTTCGTAAGTAGCATGGTGGAAGCCTGAAACCATTGCGCTTTCAAAGCAACACTGCCAACACCGTCGAAATTAAAGTTCTTTCATTCCTCTTATTTCGGTCGATGGTATACCCTTTCCGACGTCACAGTCAGCTTTTGGGCCAATCGTGGAAGGCTGACCACAGCGACGCTTTCGGTCGCGCACGTCGCCAATACATTTGATGTTGTTTGACACCTCGAGACACTGGCTTGCCCTGGCGCACCGACCGCCAGCGTAGCGTAGCGCGTAGCTGTATAATGTCTGCAACCGATGATGGTGATAGCTTATTTACGAAAAAAAAATAAAAAAAGAAGAAACGACTCGGAGCGGACCTCCCTTCTGTCAGGGCTGGATTCGGCGTTGTAGGGGTTCTCTCTAATGCAAATTAGCGGGGTGGAATGTATTTCCCTTAGTAAAGTATTTGGTAGAGCCCCAACGACCGGCAAATATTGGCGCGACAACGATAAAGCGTCAGAGGAGCGTCTTCCCCTGTCGTCTGCGAACGATAACGTTAATAAAATAGGTCTTTTTAGACATTACTCGAGTCATACGAAATTTCACATTGGCAGTATCCACTTTTTACGGGTAATGCTGAATGGTCTAAATACTTGCACCGTTTTTAATTTTAGTAAAACATCTCTACTCTGGAACCTAAATCGAAACTTAGAATATGGTGTGCCAAAACTCATAGCCTTGCAACCGCCTTCCACGCAGAGCTTCGCCTCGTTTCTCTGCCTGCCTACTCCCCTCCGCTCATCTCTCAACGCCAACCATTACCTTCTCTACTCACCGCTCAAAACCACCCAGAAAACTTGTGTCTTCGCTTGCTTGCGTCGTCGATTCCGCCGACTCTTATTATGGCGCCGCCGCGCTAAGGCCGTACTCCGTCCAAGGAGCAAGCGCGGCGTGAACGGCTGTCTCTCGCGGCTCTACCGGCGTCGCGCCGACACTGACCACCAACGTCGTCGTGCCCACACTGACCACCAACGATAGGCCAACCGTGCTACACGTGCACGTCGACGCGAGAATCTCGAGGCACGACTACGCAAAGCGGAGGAGCCTTACGGGGCCACGAGATTATTCCTTAGGGCGCGACATTTTGGGCGAAAAAGGCCCCCTTTTATGTAGCAGAAGGCGCTTCCAATATCGTTCGTAATTAAAACTTCCTCGCTTTTTAACGCCTTCCTTCAGAGATGACTACTGTCACGCTTTGTGCCATTGTTTTTATGGTCTATCTATCTCGACGCACAAATAACAGTTGCCAGAGGTGAGAACTATAGGTCGCGTACTTGTGTTGTGCACGTTTCCCTCCAGAAGTAACTAAAGGCCGCTAGCCGTTACTTCATCCGAAGTTAACAAAAATGCGTTACTCTGGCCTTCTTCTAAAACGTGACATGATCGTTACTTCGTTAACAAAAAAGCAACCAGGTACAACCAACACGCTGCTTGTAACACGTTATATACAAATCTGGCTTCATCAATGTGCACATTGCTTATGTTTTTATCCTATTAATTACATCAATGTGTTAGGATGTTTAAAATGTGAATTTCCACGTTCATTCGTTCGGTGTTACTGTGTATTACAACAATGTCTTCCACTTTGACACTTCGAGAAAGTTCCACTTTTTAATGGCCAAAAAATAAAACTCTGTTTTGGTAAAAACAAACAAACTTCACGTGTTCCTTTTTTCTAGTATGCTACGTTTAAGGCAACTCAATATCATTCCACAAGCTCATAATGTCGCTACCTGCTGTCTTGACTGCGATTCGTTCCTTCATGCGTCGAGTCTGATCGACCGAGAAGTGGTTCTTGTAATCCCCGATGATACCCTTACGTACAAACTCGCCTTGCGGCACAAACGACTCCTCTTTGTCCAGGAACGTTTTGAATACTTCTACAGATTTTAGCTGCTTCTCACGGGGAAGTGAAAGAAGCTTTGGCATCAAAGTTTTCATGCCCTCATTGACAGGCTTCTTCATGCTTTCGAAGCTTGTGTCTTTCAGCACCCGGTCGAGCAACGCCTCGTTCCGTCTCAGCTTCGCTCCGTAGGCTTCACCCAGGAAATCGGCAATCTTCAGAACCCAACCCCTGGTATCCTTTTTAAGGTCTTCATATGTGAAGAAGAGGACATTTTCGTCGTTTCGGTGATCAGACCAGGATAACAGGTGATCAAAATAGTCTCCGAAGCTGACTTTCCCGCTAACAAACATGTCGAAGAACTGGTCGAATGACGAGTCTCCAAGTCCATACGAAGGCGCGCTCTTGATATGATGGAAGAAAGAAACGCAGCAGTCGTAGGGATTCCGAGCGACGTATATGTACTTGGCATTCTCAGAGTAAGGCTGCATGTTGAAGGGTAAGTGAGTTTTGATGGCGCCGGGCCGGATCATTTTCTCTGCTGCCTCGGCGCCAAAGAACTCAAGGAAGGGGGACCTTAGCGCAAAGTCAATGAAGTCCTTGGGAGGCACACCGTCGTTCAAGATGGAGTGCACAATGTACTGAGTCCAAGTTGTGCCGCATTTTGGGTAGGTTACGATGAATATTTCTTCGGGTCTGGGCTTGTAGGAGAGAGCAGACCTCAAGATGTCTTCGTCGAAGAATTTGCTGATGTAGAGGCCGTCCACTTCTCTAAAGAGATCGCTGATGTCCTCGATTGACTTGCTCGTCATTCTTGGGTGTGGTGTCACCTGGAAAAAGCAACATTAATGTGCTACAGTTAAACAAAATGCCGGATTCTTCGCCGTGTTTCACAAATGAGCTCCAGTGACTGCCGAGACGCTGCGCACTGTTGTGTTTAAATTTAGAGAATTTACGTCGTTCTAAATTTGGCGGACGGTGTTCAGGTGACAATGGGACGTTACGTGACGCCATGAAATCACGTGACACTGTGACATCATGTAGCACTATGACGTCACACAGCACAAACATTCCCGCTAGATTAGCGGAGAAATTACGCACTAGACTTAGCCGCGACGTTTTGGCAATAAATTTGATGCCATGCGACATGTCATTATGTGACGTTGAAGCGTCCCATTCTTGTGACACCTTTTACTTCCCGCTAAATTAAGCGGAGACATTAGGAAGTTTTTTTTAGATCGTTTTGTCGTTTCGCAACGCTCTCCGCTACGCGTTACAATACCCGGAACAATACAGTCAAAGCCACCGGCGCGCAGGCGCAGTAGCAGCCTCTTCCTTGAGGAGGGCTTAGCGGAGGGGAAACGCCGATCTACGAAAACTCTCTATTTACCCTCTAAACTTAGCGGGCCCCAACGTACGTACATGAAACACAGACGGGATTTGCTGCGAAGCCTCGTCAATGAGGTTTGATTTACATTGTGCGAATTGTCTCGCGATTTAGCAGCTGCGGCGTTGAGCCTGGTATACTCTGTTTCACCTTATGATGTACCGCAGGAAAGGCTACGAGCGCGAGCTCCTTGCTCTAGGGCACATCTCGGCGGCACAAGCTCTCGTACGTTAAGAGCAGCTCCCAACGCTATGAGCTCGCGCTTCTAGCCTTCGCTGCGGTACAAACATAAGGTGAAACGGAGTATAGTCTCTGCCACGATTTTTCTGTTGCACGAGCGACGTCGCAGCTGCGAAACCGCGAGCGAATTTACACCATGTGAATCACATTTAACAGCAGTCACCGTAAAGAGTCTGTAAATTCAGTTTTCTGCATAACTCAGAAAGTCATTCACACCGAAATATAATAAAATCCAAGCGAATGAAGTCCAAAATGCAATTAGATCCCAAGAATGAGATTTCCAAAGCGACAAGGAGTATTTGTTTCACCTGCTTGTTATTTCTGCGCGCATCTCATTCTTCAGATTTGATCTTATTCGGACGTTCATTATTTGCTGGGACCCTTGTATTGTTAGTTGTGGTTGACTGTCTAGTGTATTCCGTAGAAATATAAACGTATTTTGTTAGGAATCGATGAGCGTTGTTTATGTATCTTCTTGTATAAATTCGACGCTCAGTCGTCTTTCAAAAACCGCCGACAGATACACTCTTGAATCTGCAATCAATGCTGTTGATTTTCTTTAAAGAAGCGGGGTCATTAGTTAATTGTCAGGTAATTTTTATGGATCAACACCAGAGAATAACACCTTTATTAATCTAGACATTCATAAAACGTATAAAATTCAGTATACAAGAGACCCTAATGTAGCACTTTTAAATAACCCTATTAAATAATATTAAGATGTTTTAAGTGCACATTGTTCCTCTTGAAGACCATTTTAACAAGAATTCATCGCGCCATTACATGTAGATGACCGCTTGGTGGCAGACTGAAGTCGACAAAATCGAATTCGCATCACGCTTGGTATTCAATCACGGCATTTTAATTACTTCAGTTTGATTTTTAAATGTAACTTTTACTACAAGTAATTAAAGTTGCGACTTTAATTTTTTTATAGCTACAGTAATTGCGAACTTTTCATTACAAATACAAGCCTTTCACTCCCGAGCATCCTTGTATTAAGTCACTGCAATACTAGGAGAGATCAATATTGGTTATGAATTCAGGATTAGGAATCATACCACCTAGGGCTTCAATGAAACATCCGGAGGGTAGCCAGGGGCGTCGCTAGGATCTGCGGCAACCGGGGCCCGCCATGACCCCCCTCTCCCCTTTCCCAGCTCTTGTGGCCCGCCACAACACACCTCCCCCTTTCCACGGCCTAGTTGCACCCCCCCCCCCCCCCGGAGCTCTGCACCCGGGGCGGTCTACCCCCCCCCCCCCCCCCCCGCCCCCCTCCTTGGTGAGGCTATACTGGGGATAATGCACCTTTCCATAAAATTGTCAAAGGGCGTTGTTTGCTCTGTTAGTTCGTTCAGTACAAGAAATTTCTAGCTGGTTGCAGTTGCGAACGCGGGCTGGCTGACAAGGTTGTCATATCATCTGCGCAATCAGGGGGTAAAATGACTTATTCCGTGCTGAAGTGGTATTCATAAAAGCGATGCTTTCCGAGGAGGAATGTGCGTGAAGTCAGCGATGGCCGAAACTAGCAGGACTACTTCCCCAACTCCTTAGCATTTACACGAAGGGCCTGGAGAGCCGTGAAGGATGTCAATGTTATCAGACGCATTTAGTAGTCAGACTCGCGGCAACAGGGCTTGGTTACTCATTGACGGGAGTAGAAAAAAAGATGCGTGGATGAAACGACGGTACACGATTATTGTAGCAGCGCTGTTAGATGCAGAAGATGACGAACTGCTTCCTGCTAAAACAAAGATGCTTCTTGAATGGGTGGATGAAACAAAATATCCAGTTTGTCATATATAATTATGGCGAAATCGACCAGCAAGGTGTCGGGCAGTACGTCGAAAATTCCGAGGACAGCTAAGCACTTCTTATGAGTTGTGAATGCGAAAGCATGAATGTCGTTCTTCCGCTCCCTCAGCTTGTCTGGTGTGTACTGGCGTGGACGGCCAGGTTTCGCTACTGCCCAGGTTCCGGCCGCCGACGATAGAGATGCCTCAGGCGCCGCCATTTTCCTCGCACCGAGAGGAGCGAAAGCAGGCACAGTTCCCCCCCCCCCCCCCTCTTCGGCCGAGCGCGCGCTCTTGTGAAGCGGCCGCAGCCCCCCCCCCCCCCTCCCCCTCCCCCCCTATGGCAACCTCTGACACGAGAACGGCGGCCTAGCAATAGCTATCTAGGAGCCGTATCGCTCAGCCAATGGGAGAATGGGCATTTTTTTTCGCATTTTTTTCGCGGTTACAATCGCCACAGACTCCGCTCCATGGGATAGTTAATGCTTACCCATTACAAAGGACGTGTAATCAAAAACCAGTTTTATGATGAGCGGCTTGAAGACGGCATTGATAAATATCGAAGACTGCTTCGGGTGCCTCGGACGACATGCGCAGCAGTGTAAGCCACAAGTCAGCCGATCCGGATGCCACCGCCGGTCTCTGGCCGAGCAAAATCTATAAAGTTGACTTATTCCAAAACTCTAAGCGCCTCATCGCGGCGTACTGCCACGTTATGCATTATGAGAAACATTGCGAAGCAAAATCCGTACGCCCTTCGTTCCTGGTCCACAGGTTCCCAGAATGCAACGCGCACGGCGGCAGATCTGTAGAATTACCCTAATAGGCGGGGAACGTTTGTTCAGCCCGACCATAAGCTCCCCCATGCCCCTGGGATGTCTACGTGATGCGTATCCCAGTTAGCGAAGGGCCGGATTTTCCCCCCGTGTGAATGCTCCTCGACATCCGTTCACATAGTCTCGTTTCCTTAGATATGCGGAGAGCAGGTTGGTCTGCTTCTTTTGCAGGGATTGTGGTGACGTCAGAATGCCGAGCTCTGATTGGTTCTGAATGAAGGATAGTGGGTAGACGTCGAGGCAGCTTGCTTTGAGGTCTACCCTCTATACTTCCATCAGAGCCAATCGGGGCTTGGCCTCTTCCTGACGTCGGCGCAATTCCTGTGCAAGAACCAGACGAATTTCTCTCCGCATGCCTCCGTTAACGCATGCTATCGTCTGCCATCGTCTGCTTATGTCGAGCTACAATCAACCCTCACCGGGACCTCCGAGCATTGCATGAAGCGTGGTAACCAACTCAAGGGAGTAGTTTTGCACGAGGCTTATGAAGAACGGATGTCCCGGTGGCTCCCAGTTGTATAGGGAGTATTCACTGGCGGCCATATCTATGTGCGCGACTGCTGAGCACGTGCTGACGGTAAGCTTCCACAGTTCTTTTGCTACGCGCATTCCGCACCATCAAGATTGCCGGTCTTAGCAAGCGAATTTAATGTGAGCTCGTTCTGAGCATGCGCTCTAAACATCGCCCTCAAATATGGCGTCCAGTGAATACCCCTTATTACAACGTAATGTATTAAACCGTAAGCGAAACAATATCCAGCGACCTGCACTTTCAAAGCTCTACAATGCATAATATGCAATATAGGGAATTGGTGTGACGTGTGACGTATATCTTCCCGCTAAATTTAGCGGGAAAACTGAACGGTTGTGTATGTCACGTGACATAAGGTCATGTGACGTTACGCCGATTTCCCCCGCTATATTTAGCGGTGCAACTGGATTGGTGATTGGCGAAACCCGATTAGCCCGCTAAATTTAGCGGGTAACCAAATATGTGTATTGGGCACGTGACGTCAATTTCCCGCTAAAAATAGCGGGGAAACTGAATTGGTGTATTGTTGACGGGACGTCAATTTTCGCGCCAAATTTAGCGGGGAAACTGAATTGGTGCATATCTCACGTGACATCATTTTTCCGCCGTATTTAGCTGGAAATCCAGGGACGGACGGACGGACGCAATTTCGGGATTGTATGTTAGCGTTAAAAATCATTTCACGCTTTGAATGTGTAAAGGAGCCTTTAAGAACAACAGCTTTAGGGTACGAAATGAATCTGTTGAAGGTTTCCAAATAGGCGGAGTCATGTCCGCCAGTGATGAATACAGTTACACAGCAGTCCCATTGGCCATACATCATACAAAAGACAGGGTGTCCGCTGCAAACCTGTATCACAAGTTCATGTATACAGACACACCTTACGGATAATTCCAAGCATATTTGATTCATACTGTGGTCTCCACTTGTCCCGTCCGTCCGTTTCGGTGCTCGTCCATGTCCACGGCTCATACCCTCTAAAAAAAGCCCGTGCGTCTGCTTTCCCGCACAACACTCGGAGAGCCAATCACCGCAACATACGGAGGCAACTCAGCGAAGGACAATGCCGAAACATATTTTTAGACGAAAAAACGCAGTCTGAGTTGTGACATTAAGCAATGCAAATAATGCTGAGTCTTAACATGTTAATATCGTGCCCTTCATTTACTTTTTTTTAATTATTTTTGGTGTTTATTTGTAATTTTATTGCTGCTCACGGGTTTGTATTATTAGGTTTTATATTAAAATGTTCAGTTTGTCATTCATTGTGTTGCTGCTCACGAGCTTGTATTACTGTTTTTACATTGAAACTATTAGTGTCCCATCCCTTGTGTAATGCCCTGTAACGGGGCCTTCAAAGTATTATGAAATAAATAAATAAATGCAAAACGTCACGCTTTGCATTGCTTAATGTCACAACTCGGACTGCGTTTTTTGGTCCAAACATACGTTTCGCCATCGTCACTCGCCGAGCTGCCTTCGTAAGTTGCCCTGATTGGCTTTTCAAGTGTTGTGCGGGAAAGCGGATGCACGGGCTTTTTTTAGAGTGTAGAGGAGGAGGAGGTACAACAGAATTGGAGGGGCTTTTCGTCTTGTTTACTTCACTCCCCGCCGGCGACTCCCTGCTAGGGATGCCGCGAACTTTTTTTGAACCGAAGGTTCGATGATCGATTCAAGCGGTTCAAAAGGTTCGAAAGATTTCGAATTTTTGAAGTTTTCATATCGAGAAATCCGACGGAAGTCGAATTTCCCAACTTGTTAAACTAAGAAGTTCGACGCTTTTCGAAATTTTGACCTTATTACGCTGCAAAATTCGATGCTTGTTGAACTTTCGACCTTGATAGACTAACAAATTCGATTATTTTTTAGCGTTCGAACTTCTTGTACTAAAAAAGTTCGAAGCTTTACGAACTTACGAACTTTCGACCTTCCAATGCTAAGAAATTCGCTAATTTTCGAACTTTCGAACTTATTAATCTAAAGAATTCAAGAATTGTCGAACTTTTGATTCATGAAAAGTCAAACTTTCGACGAACTTCGAACTTTTAGGGTAAAGTTTCGAAGTCGTCGAACTTCAAAAGACCGGCGTTTCATTTGGATTCAAGCGGTGAGGTACATTCGTAATTTTTTTTACGCATTTTTAAATGCGGTGTTGTATTCCTTGCGAAAAACAATACCGTTTATTTCAATCATCTGGCATGCTTGGTTTTAAAGAAATCGATTCCCGATGGAGCGAGGAAGGTCGACGGGTTTTTGGCAATTGACGTTTGTGCCACATCTGAAGCGCGCTATAGCCGAAGCTATTTATGGTAGAGATGTTAAACGTTTTTAGATTGATCTATGTATAGCCTAGGTAATTGCGGTGTTAAGATTAGACTGCTGTTATCCAAGACGAGTTTCGAAGAAATATCCAAACATGTATCTACGGTTCAATTATGCCCTAAACTTGGTAATTTTTTTTTATGTAAATTGTCTCAGGTATCGCATTAAAATTAACACCACAGACAGTACATATCATTACAATCTGCAGAATATAAAATAATGTATTTATTCTTTTTTTCACGTTAAGAAATAAATTAAATCATAGGGGAAGATTTCTACAATTATTCAAGTTCAACAAGTCATAGAGAAAAAAAACATTTCTAATTAATTTTTCTCATTTGACGTTTCTGGGACGTGTTTCTTTTAGCCTGTGCACATTTTGGCAGGAGAAACTTGTTTCGTAGTTCTGGGCCTCTGAATATGCAATAATACAACACTTCCGGCGGGTTCTTGATAGTTCTTTCCTCCAGCTTTTTATTTTTGCATTTATTGTTATGTTTACTTATTTATTATTTTTTTTTACCAATGGCACAGTTATTTAGGTCGAAAAGACATAGCTTTGAACTTCCGCACAACCGAACATGTGACGAGTAGTGCCTTCTGACAACGAGTTTCTGACAATGGCTATCTACGCGATCTGTTATGCACTGAAGAGCGACAGTAGCTATGCATATGAATAAGTAATTTCAAATTAAAATAAGCTCGACCACGCCCTCTTTTCCCGTGTTGTTTTCTATAACAGTCTGAAACATCTAAGGGGGAAGGGAAACTGGAGCCCCCCCCTCCCCCCCCCCCCCCCGTTTTTCCTCTTCCGACGCCACTGGTATGGTACAACGCTTCTCTACCTCAAGTTGTGTCAGCTTCTGTGCTTTTTGCTCGGCGTTTCTTCCGTCCCGGAAAATAAACCTCCAAAGCAATTACAAACTACAAAATTGTCAAGGTGCATGCGAGCTGGTGTAGGTTGATCATAATACAAAATCGCGAGACTGGGAATGAAGTTCGCAAGAAATAGCGTAAGAAGAAAGAAAAAAGGGGACTGAACAACGTCTCAAACTCAGCTGAGTTGAGTTTGAGACGTTGTCCCGCGTTGAGTTTTCAGCTGAGTTGAGTTTGAGACATTGTCCTGTCCTCTTTTTTCGGTCTTCTCACACTTTTTCTTTTAGATTTCATTCCCAGTCGCAGGGTTTTGCATCATGTACAAACTAAACTTACTATATGCCGGCGTCACTCGGGCGGCGTTCGATCGGATTACTAACAGCGTGCAAGGGGGTAGGGAGGCAGTTTGCCAAATCGGCTCAAGGTTTTTCTGAGCCTCAACCACCTGCCTGAGCCTGCCCGTTCCAAAATGAATGAGTATCGTTAAACAGTGCCTTCGTGTGATCACTACTCCGTGATGCACGTTAATGAATCCCCCTCCGCCCCTCCGCCCCCCTCCCCCCCGCCCCCCCCCCCCCCCCCCGGGTTGGCGGTCACAATTACTGATCTATGGTCACACGTAACTCTGCACTGGCAAATATTACAGCACATCCGTGACACTCATCGTCTCATTTAATTGCCTGACCAACTTCGCGCAGTCTAAATATCACACCCGAACGTTTCTAAACCTGATTTCGTGAAATCCAGTGAGGCGTGAAAACGTTATTTGAAACTGAAACTGGGGCGGAATATGAAAACCGGACTTAGAACTTTCCGCACTTGGACTTGAAAGAAATTTGAAACCTTGAAATTTTTTTTTTCAAGATACCCCTAAAAGAGAATCGAAATCTTCGAACTTTTCGACCTTTATATAGAAAAAAATTTCAAATCTTCGAATTGATCGAACTTTATGTCTATAAGAGTTCGAAACGTTCGAAGTTTTCGAATTTCAGATCCAAAGAAATTGAAACATTTGAATCACTCGAATTTCAAGTTAAAAAAGTTCGAAATATCCGATATCGAACCTCAAGTAAAAAATGTTCGAAATAATCATACCCGAACTTGTAAACCGTGAAAGCTTCGACGTTTTCGAATTTGAAACTCTACGATTTTTGAAAGTTACGTATTTTTCGAATTCGAACCTCCGTACGGTCGAAAATATCGAAACCTTTCAAATCCGAACATCAGTTCGGTTCAAAAATATCAAAACATTTCGAATTCGAACCTAGGGTGGTTCGCAGTATCCCTACTCCCTGCCCGCCGGCCTGCCACCGCCCCCGTTGTTTGTGGCGCTGGCGTCGTGAAGGGTGCCACGTAACGAATCCTCGCGCAATACGCATGAATGCTTAAAACATGCCTTAAGAAAATGGTTTGTGTGATCAAGGAGGGCCGGTCAAATGAGAAAGAATCAAGCCTCAGACAGTAGCTACAGATTGTATTTTGTATGATGCATAAGCAGTGCTACCGCGGTTCTGGAACGGCGAATGACGTGCGGGGCTAAGATTCAGCGAGTGGCTATGAGATCTCTGCATCGTACGGCAAGTGCCAATCCACTCCTTGAAGTTGATGCCACGTGCTCATTGAACGAATATCAGGTAAACAACTGACAAACTTCTTTTGGCCGCACGCTCAAATGCAATGCGCACTGCGCGGCAGCCAGTGTTTTCATGCCGCGCGCAGGACGAACTCCGCCACACTCTAAAAAAAGCCCGTGCGCCTATTTTTCCCGCACAACACTCGGAGAGCCAATCACAGCAACTTATGGAGGCAACTCAGCGAATGACGCTGCAGAAACATATGTTTAGACCAAAAAACGCAGTCTGAGTTGTGACATATTAAGCAATGCAAAATATTACGCTTGCATTGCTTAATAGCGAGTTTTAGTAGACCGTGTTTCCCCCTCCTCTAAGCCCCTCCGCTAGCCGGAACTCTACAGCCAAGGTCATCGGCACGCAGGCGCAGTGACGGTTTCTTCGTAGCGGAGGTTTAGCGGAGGGGGAAATACGATCTACTAAAACTCCCTAATGTCACAACTCTGTCACGGTCCGGCGCGGAGCGAGAGGGGAAGCGCACTCGCCGTAGACCGCAACGGGGGTTCGGACGCCCGCTATCCCACAGTACGTGGGCTCCAGGGACGGGGGGACAAAGACAAGGCACGTGACGAACAGCGCAGTAGAAACATTTAATAAAAGGCTAGTAAGATGGCGACAAAAGTAAAAGGGTAATACAGACAGTCTCAATCAGGCGGAAGCATACAAGAAAACTTAATAGCTATTGGCAAGACAGAGAATACACAACAAGAGGAATGGGAACGATACCGCACTTTGGCGCAGTCCGGCACGACGAGGCTCGCAGAGGCGTGGAGGCACCTGAGGTCGGTCGCTTGCGACGGGCTCTGTCTGGACGGGGCCGCGGTGCGCCAGAGGCGGGGGTTGTTGGCTTTAGACGCTGTCGCGTCACGGACGGTCGACGCACTGGGGCAGTCCGGCAGAGGAAGGCCGCATAGGGATGGAGCACAGAAGTAGTTGACGTTCAGTGTCCCGACGGGTCTTCCCCTTTACCGCGGTGCCCGAGGCTACGCCCGGAGCCGACAGGAAGAGCGGGTTGCGCTCTCGAAACTCCCAAGTCAACTGCCGCGCCGTTTCCCAGTTTCAACCGAACGGCGCTCTTTCTTAATAAAGTAAACAAAACACACCCGCTCCCCTACAATCGCAATACACTCACACACACACACAAAAAAAAAATGACCGTCACAGCGGCGAAGACATTCGTTGCCCCAAGCTCCAAAGTCAACACCAAAAACGCTCAACTGGGGCATCTGGCAAACTCATTACCGAATTCCACGAAGTTGTACCGCGCCCAAGCATCGGGCAAAAGCGTCCCCCGAACGGGAGTCGAAGAGGCCATAAACAAGTCAAGTAAGGGTCCCAGTCGGGACCGGCGAGGTGCTAACTAGCGCCAACCAGGGAGTGTCACACCACCCGCGGCGACCACATGGCCCCGCAGGCAGCCGACGAGGCGCACTTTACAATACGCGTGGCCCGGCAGGACCAGGCCGGTTTTTGTGACAAACTCAGACTGCGTTTTTTTGGTCTAAACCTATATGTTTCAGCATCGTCATTCGCTGAGCATGCCTCCATAAGTTGCGATGATTGGCTATCCGAGTGTTGTGCGGGAAAGTAGACAAACGGGCTTTTTTAGAGTGCAGGCCTAAACAGTCGCTTATTGCAGACGAAAATAATCTCTGGAGAAGGAGAACAAGACGGGCAAAAGACAAACACGCGCCCGTATTGTGGAGCCCAGCGTTTATCTTAACTAAGATCAGTCTCCACGTAAGCCCTCGTAAAGTAACCAGAAAGCGTTCAAAGCTACAATATAGATACTACTTCAGAATAATTGGTCGTTTTAATGTAATAACGACAAGGTAAATATTTGAATTACCTGATCGTCACGGAGCAGCAGAGAAGTACTTGAACAAGACGTTCGATTCCACCGTGGTTCTGAAAAACAAGGATTATCAGCTTAATGTCCAGGGGGAGTCGTCTGCCTTGGTTCTTATTGTCTCGCTTTTACACACAGATAAAGGGGGCACAATAGTCGTGTGTACGCACTATCTCCCGAAATTGCCTACACACCGATACGTTATCTTCATCACAAGAGTTGCCTCTTTTGGTTCTGGCTCGGGTAGCCTATCTTTCTAAATATATGCTTCAACGAAGAGGTGAAGGCTCTTAGAACCAAGAAACAATTAGCAGCAAGTACCTAAAAAAAACACATTCCTGAAAAACATCGCGTTTGGCCCACTTTGAAATTTTAGATTTCGAAGCATACATGGCTGAAGAAGATTGGTCACGCGGACATAATTTCGCCAAAACATTTTATGTATACTTTAGAGGTTAACTCGGAGATGGTAAAATTATAAACACAAAACAAAAACGGCATTCTCAGAATGCCCACGTTCCACGCAGGGTGCGTGTTGGGAAAACACTGCCGAATAGGCCCATATTCCAAGATTCCGGCGCCGTGCTTGGCCTATGTAAACGTTCCGCTATCTCGGAAGCAGCTTGCTGCATAGCCTCCCGCGTTCGTTGTTTAGACAAGATAAGACGGCCTTGCGAGAATAAAGCCAAGCCGGTAATGACGGCCTTAAGGCGGCAGAACACGTGCGACCCAGCAATATAATGTGTGAACACCTGTGTCACCATCCGCAGTTGACCCTAACTAGTTTTTTGAGCCTATTTTTTACTAACAAATCATGATCCATTCCACTTTGGGAAGGTAGATGACCAGCGAAACTGCTTAGCACACGACACAGACGTGGCACGGAACTTAGCGTAGACTTTATTAAAGTTGCCCAATTTAGGAGCATGGTACCTCTGTCTTTTTGATGCGTTCTCCGACCAGCAACGTTCGTCGTCTTGCCTGGTTTGACGTAAGCTCCTGGCGTTTTCTGCACGATCTCCATCGGTGGTGTATGCCGCCCGCCGCCGGCGCTGACATTCTCGGTGCCGTTCCCGTCGTTGCCCTTCGTACGCGCTCTGCTCTTCGACAGTCCGGACTATAGGGAGTATTCACTGGCGGCCATATCCGTGTCCGCTGCTGCTGAGCGCGTGCTTGACAGCAAGCTTCCGCAGTCCCTTTGGAGCGTGCATTTAGCACCGTCAAGGTTGCCGGTCTTAGCAGGCTATTAATGTGAGCTCGTTCTGAGCATGCGCTCTAAACATCACCCTCAAATATGGCGTCCAGTGAATACCTCCTATACGCGGCTTCCCCATTACGACGTCGAGAGAAGTGTAATAGACATATCGCTAAATTACCCAAGCGTCAAGGAGAATGCAAGTCATGGTGTTCCACGCGCCATACGTGCCGGTGTCTGCAGCAGTAACTGTTGTAAAGCAAATGCCTAAAACAAATGGCTTCTTGCACGCGCGTTCGTCAAAGCTTTATTTTGGTTGTTTACTTAGAATCTTCAATAGGGGGAGGGCGTGCGGCGCGCGCGGCGGTGCGAGCGTGGAGTTTTTTGTCACGCGTACAAAAATTCCACGGAACCTGTAAAGAAGCTACGCTTTGTAATTTTACAAGGGAAAGCCCACCTGTTAGATACACCTTTGACGAAATTTTTTTATCGCTACGTGTTGGTTCCTATGTTTACGGCCGAATTTGGATCCAGCCTCGGCATTTCACTCACCCTGTGTAACAAGCAAGGCAGTACGAAACACCATACTACCACGCAAAGTTAACTGTAAATCCAACTGGCCACATACTCGTCGCAGTACGAACAATCTGAAATAAAAAAAGGGCATCTGAGCGCGTATTAGTAAGAAAACATTCAAACAATGTTCTCGGCAATAACAAAACTTCCTGCCCTTAAAGCAGCCCTGGCGAAAAGCGACCTGATCAAGCGAATAAACAAGCAAAGCTGGGAGCCACTAAAAGCGTATACAGTAAAAGACGATGCAGCATGTCGAGCAGTTGCGGAAGTGCGCGGTCGAGAGGTGCTTCAAATGGGCCAATAAGGAACTCGCGCTCTTCTCCGTGGATATAGTCCACGATTATTTGGCAGTACTGAAACCGGCTAGTTTGCCATCCGCACAATGGTTGGTGCTAACTGAACCCCCAGGACGCGCGGTGAACGCAAGCAAGTAGTGTGGTGTCACGATTTTAACGACGATCAAAAGTGAAGAGCTCGGGATACAAGAATTCGGGCTTCAGGGGGTTGATCACTACCAGCACCTAGGGGTATAGATACGGCAGAAGACCCGACCTTGTCCTGGGATGCGTCGCGAAAACATGGGCGTCCGGAACGGGTGCAAGGGGCCGAATTTGCCTCCCCCCCCCCCCCCCCCTTCCCTAGAATTCCGAGGGTATTGACGACGAGATGTTTCGATGGCGTACTCTTAGCCCGAGAACACACTGCTCATACAAAGCGACAGTCCGCATGCTAACACCTGTCAGGTGCGTGTTTCTTCCCTGCGTGTCGGTCCTGTCACACTCAGCATGCGAAACTGCCTGCAGACATGTTCGAAGCCTGCGTATGTATCAAGTAAACGTGCTTCCAAGTGCTCGAGGTGCGTTTATAGACGTTTCTGCCATCACGTCTACGGCAAACGCAGTGTCTTTCCTACGATTGACGAGCAGCATTACGGCTTTATCGCTCCTACTCGTGATGGCGTGACTAGGATTATCGAAGGTGAACGGCAGGCTCGATGGTACGTGTAACGAGCATAGTGAAAGCCTGAAGTCATCATGTTCATCATGCCAACAGCGTCGAAGGTGACAGTCTGGCATTACTGTAAGCTCCAGCAATGAAAGCAGATTAATACAATCTAAGGTTGCTCCCGTCTGACGAAAATGAGCAGTCCTGCGTTAATTCACTGTATACAGTCACAGAGATAGGTACGACCAGTGATTTCTCTACCCTCTCTCTAGGGGCAGTGTACACCCCCCTCCCCCCCCCCCCCCCACCCCTTAATGAGAAGGCGAAAAAATAAAACAAAAAATCCTTAATATCTATGTGGCCCCAAAACCGTTGTTTCCTGGGGCGCGCTGGCTCAAGAGTGGTCAGAGTAGCATCAGAAGACGAGCCATTTCGTCGCCTCTCCGCGCTAATTAGCTCCTTCGCTCCTCCACACATTGTCATGAGGGAGAACCGAGGAGAGGTTTGCCCGTTATCGCGGGCAGCGTTGGTACCGCATATATATATATATATATATATATATATATATATATATATATATATATATATATATATATATATAACGGGCATGGTGGCGGGAGGCCGAAGGCGCTGGTATAAAACTGAGAAGAAAAAAACCCTTAGTGAAAATCGTCCGCTGTTGCTGTTTTCACTAAGGGTTTCTTTCTTCTCAGTTTTATATATATATATATATATATATATATATATAAATTATTTTTTTTAACCTTCGCCGCATTTGTTTATGAAAATGCGCGCAAGAGAAAAGTGGAAAGGGGAACTGACCCTTTCATTAATTCTTCGTTTAAGTAATTGTGCTACGTGTTTCTTTACACAGCGGGAAGTGAACCCGTCTCAATCTCATGCCTCTGTGTAGATGAGAGCAATAGACCAATCTCACCGACTAGTTTGAGTACGCCACCGCTGCCGACCTGCATCGTGGGGTCTGTAGTAGTGGTGCAAAACTATCGATAGTACTATCGATAGTATCGATAGTCGCCAGAAATCTGACTATCGATAGTGAAAAAAACTATCGATAGTACTATCGATAGTCGACTATCGAAAAACTATCGATAGTACTATCGATAGTCGACTATCGAAAAACTATCGATAGTACTATCGATAGTCGACTATCGAAAAACTATCGATAGTACTATCGATAGTCGACTATCGAAAAACTCTCGAAAAACTATCGATAGTCGACTATCAGAAAACTATCGTTAATCGACTATCGGAAAACTATCGATAGTCGACTATCGTATACCTATCAATAGTACTGTCGACAGTTTACTATGGATAGTTTTGCGACACTAGTAGTTTGCGTCGCTCCCTCTTGTCTATTTATCGCTTTAATTTTTTTTTCAAACGGGGCACCAACTAGCCCAGGCACTTACCATCCCAACTTTGGTTCAGCTTTCAGTGATGACGAAGATGGGGGTTTGGGCGAAAAAAGAAGGGGGAGGCGAGCGGTAGGGTGAGGGCAAGACGGGCCGGGGAGGAGGAAGCAGACGAACCGCTGGAGAAGAGAGGGGGAAACCTCCTTTTCTCTTTAGCGTTCCGTCTGCTTCCTCCTCCCCGGCCCATCTTACCCTCGACCTACCTTCTTGAGTTGTAACGGACTATAGTGGTGCAAGACAATCGATAGCACTAGCGATAGTATCGTTAGTCGCCAGTATAGTTTTCGATAGTCGACTATCGAAAAACTATAGATAGTACTATCGATAGTCGACTGTCGAAAAACTATCGATAGTCGACTACCGAAAAACTATCGAAAAACTATCGATAGTACTATCGATAGTCGACTATCGATAGTTCTGGGACACTATCGATAGTTTTGGAAAAACTATCGATAGTATCGATAGTCAATTCATCGATAGTTTTGCATCACTAGTCTGTAGTCTTTCTGCACGCGCGACAACGCTGCTGGAGGTCTGCGTGAGCAGAGCACGAGGCGGCATGAGCTCTCTTGTAAACTGGCGTCTGCCTCCTACGAACTACAGTTATTGTGGCGTCACGCATGCGTGGAACGCTTGGTGAGATCGGTCTATTGGAGTGCGATTCCTAGCGTCGTCAAGGCGCTCGGTGTAAGTTCGTTTATCTCACCGGTTGAACAGATCATGCACAGTGAAGAAGCCGTCATCCTTCTCTGTGCGGGATTGGTTGAGCCGCTAATAGCAAACGCAAAAAAAAAAGTCAAATTCAAATTGGGTGTTTTACGTGCCAAACCATCGACGGGCACCTGGCACGCCCCAGCGGAAAACTGAGAATTGATTGGGGATCTTTTGACGTGCAACCGAAAGCTCGGTTACACGGCGCCTTCTCCGCAATAAGCCTTCGTCAGATTGC